CCCACAAAAACCCCGAAATCTCATTCGAACCTTGAACACGATACTCAGAGAAGTAATCTTCCGCACGAACCCAGAGAAAGCTCGATCTCACAACGACATGGACACGAATCCTTGCTAGTGTGATTACGATCATCGACACAAATTATTAAGAGGCATCGATCAAATGTCTCTTAATTTACAATTCTACCCTTAAAGTTATTCAGCTCAAAACCGGGGAACTCAACCTTAAAATGTAAACCGGTTTTTATTTTGGTATGACAATCAATATAAGTTCTCAAAGATACAAACCGGACCTAAAGTTCAATTAACCGGGAGAGACCATAGAGTACAGAAGATTTAGAGATACAAACACACTTTTTGTCGACCACTGGTAAAGGATTAATGGGGAAAATTCTTTACAAAAAGAAGAGGAACATTAGTTGAAGATGTTATGGTGCTATGTAGAAAGAGTTGCCACAGTTAATGTGGGTTTGATTTAATGGATTCCATCTATCAAATACTATCCGACCGCCTCGACCAATTCTTCCTTGAAACCGAGCTCTTCCGCTTCTTGAATCCACTGGAGGGATGATTCCCGTAGCAGCCAGTTTATCGGGGATCAGCGGTTTTGTGAACAGCATAACTGGCTCAATAGGATTCTACAGAGGGGAAAAAACAGTTAAGCAATCTCAAGTGTTTCAAATTCAATTGTAACTGACAACAGAAAAGGATCTAAAGAATTACCATTTTGTGGAGCCAGCCGTGTCTTCTCACCTCTTGCTTTATGCTTACGGCTTGAGCTCGAGAGAGATTTGAGTCTGTGAAACGGGGATTAGTGATAAAAGGTCTTTTGTGTTCACGGGTGTTGGTTGGGTCATCGGAGTCCATGAATTCATCTTCGCTTGACCCAAAATTATAAGATGTAGAGAGTGGAAACCCAGACAGTGCCAAACTATCTTCCAAGAGTTCGGTTTCATGCTGCAAAGCAGGTTAAAACCAAAAATATTAGGGAGGATATCAAAATGCACAATTCTTTTCGGCTACGAAACGGTAATCAGTGCAAGTTTTAGAGGCGTACCTTGTATTTGAGTTGGATTCTCTGAAGGCTAACCTCACTCACCATGAAATCCCTCTTTTTTTCTTCTCTCTACAAAGGTTAACATGATTATAAACTAGTTACCACCTCAGAAAATGTAGGCATCTGCTACATACAAGTTACAAATCTAAGAGCCATAAAGAACACCTTAATTAGAACTTCTAGAATCGTCTTCGCTTGGTCAAGATTCTGCCTGACCTGATCATAACATAATCCCAGACCATAACAGAAGACCATGTTTCAGAATCCAACAAGGATTGCACACAGGAAAATAAGATGAAGTCTCTCTTAACATAAACAAATTCAGGTCTTTCCTTACCTGTCTAAGCTTTTCAAATGACTGCGCATTGTTTTCTCTCCTCTGCATCTACAGGGAGGTCAACTCTTATCAGTAACTTCTTCCATACTCACACATGTAAGATAAGGAAATTGATGGATTGCAGACATGAGAGCCTACCCTTCTTGTATGTAGTCTATGAGCTTTCTCCCTTGGCCTAAACACATTGTACGGATTGGTATCATTGACAGGTGGTGGAGGCTGTTCCAAACGATAAAAGCCGCAACATTAACCAACTGTCTCAAGTAAATTTCCAAATAAATTCATTCCTTCCACATGTACAATTGAAACCAGTCCAAATGATGCAAACCTGTAAACGTCGCAAAATAGGCTTCTGCCATCTTTCACGCTTAAGAGAGTACAAAAAAAAAACCAAGTTACTTAGTGTTATTAGCCTATATGCCCAAAGAGCCACAAACAACGTCCCAAACTATGCCACATAAGGTCTATCTCAGACCTTATTTTTCCAGTAACTGTAGATAGCTTGGAAAACTCCATACTTAATGGGCAAAGATTGCAACGCCTGTAAGAAAAATGGAATTAGTACAATGCCTCTGAGTGAATATGCTCCAAACGAAATAGAGATTGCAAAGAGCACAGACCCCTAGAGGCGACAATATAATCATAAACACTAGGTCTATGTTCCAGCTACAGTTTCAAGTAATGAGAACAAGTTAATACCGTTCTTCAGAAAACAGTCTCCGATGAAAGATGATTCACTACAGTGAGAACTACCCAATCAACCATGTTTTCTTTTCTCCTCTTTATAACTTCCAGAACCGAGTATAACATTAAAACTAGATAACAAAGTCAAAATAAGGGCTATACCTCAATAGCAGCATCAAGCTGCAAAAGCACTGGAACGGGTGAACCAAGGGTAGGAGTAATAAATCCAGCTCTTTCCCTCGTCTTATGATCCAATACCTCTAGTTTAAAAATAATGCCCTCAAGCCTGTATCAAGCAATTTAAAGAGAACATTAGGTGTTATTTTAGAACATGAGAAAAGTTGAGCACTATCTCAACTCGCTATTAGGGGCATATCAGATCTTAGGCTTAGCAATTCTTCTTTTGGTTTCCACTCGACCACATGGTTTTCATACTATTAGCAAAATCCAATCAACAAAACTTATGCACCAGAAAATGACAGACAACTAATTTAGAGTCTAGAGCCGAGAGATCTATCCACCACACAACAAGACTCAAGGGAGTCTGGATACTATCCAATCTATCTCAACGGTTAAATATGGAAAGCGTGTTATATATGGTACAATTAACAAAATCTGAATGTGCGGTTGGATACTTTACATTTCAGGTGAGAGAATCATTTGCTCCTTATCAAACTCGTAAAGCCAGTCATCATCTTCATCGTCAAGATCATACTCCACAAATTCTCCAAGCTCAGCCCGAGCTGCACAACAGATCTTCAGTCTCCATGTACAAATATACCAATCTCGAAATAATACATTTAGAGATAAGAAGTTACCTCCTCTTGCGCGTAAATAAGAACTAGGCTGATTAAAAGTCCTAGAGTAATCTCTTTCATATGTATCCACAACAAGAAACTGAGGTGTTGGTATCTCTGAAACAAGTTTCTTGCTAGGTACTTGAGGCCGCACCTGATGACGCGAAAAAACCGAAACTTTTACATACCAAACTGATACACACCG